CAAAAATTAATCTTATCTAAAGAGGTCATTCTCCAAACACTGTTCGGGCAATACTATAAAATGGTTTTATAAAATTAAAAAATAAATGTAATAAATAAAAATATATTCAAATTATCTATTTTATATTTAATGATTGAAAATGAATATAATACCCCATTCAAATAATTAACTCTCACTTAATATTTTAAATTTTTTAAACAAATTACGTGTTTTGGTATTATAAAACCCATTGAATAACATGACACAAACGTAGTTTAGAGAATGACATCTTCACATGAGATTATCTCTGTATTCATAGGCGGGACAAATGGTTTGCATCCTTTTGTAAATTGATTAATTCAGTTTCATTCCATATCACAAGTAAATATATTTGTTAAATAAGTAATTTTAAATTAGTAAAAACTAGTTATGCTAAATCTGTTAGTAAATAATATTTGATAAGATGAGTGCGAGAAGACGCCTATCCATCAATAGGTGCCTCACTGGCCGGCATATTGATCACAGCAGTAATTACAGGTATTATCCCATCCTCTTTCACCACAAGTACCTAATGTTAGAAAATATAAAATTTTAATATTTTGAGTCAACACAAACAACAAATAGATCTATACTTTGATAATATCAGAGATGTTTAGTTTACTGACGCAAACAACACGTGTGGCGAAAGAGTAGATAAATCCGGGCGCGAGGAATGGCACGCGAATCGCCGATCGGTCGATAGTATAGATGCGAACATCACATTGAAATGTCATCAACAGATCCATTGATGGCGTGTCCGGCGATGTATTTTGCAATTCCAATACTAGTCTGAATATAGGGCCCAATCCATGCACCTGTTCAGTCGTTTATATAATTTATACATATCAGCATTTATTCACTTCACTCATCATATTTAAACATTTTCTATAACAAATATTTAGATTTAATCATAGACCCTAGCATATACTCTACTGTATTATACAGTCTGTATCTGTATATGATATAAAGTACAGTATTAATAATTATATATCATACAATTCAATATATTTTTAAATTATAGCATTATTTTTGAAAATATTTAAAAACTTTTGATTGAATGCTAAACTCTAATGTCAAAAAATTAACTTTTATACATTGCAATTGCAATAAATTTCATTAACACAAAATAATAATTTAAATTAAATTTCTAATAATTGGTAATAAATTTAATATAAAGTATTCTGTAATTACTATTAGAAACCAAATACTAATTATACAATACCTGTGCCGATAGTTTCAAAGGGTCGATAGCAGTAGAAGATAAAGGATTAAGACTCGATGCGATTGCTTTGACATAAGATCGGGCGGCGATTAATTTGAGACGATATAAATCGTGTTGAAATGTTCGGTGAATACCTTATTATTAGTTTAACAAATAAATACGATATTTGTAGACAATATAAACATGATTTGCAATCAACTACTTCTAGCGTTGCAAACAAAACAATAACTCACTGATAGACTGTTCCCTTTCTCTCATAGTTTGGTCGACAAACAATTTAGTCTTTTTGGGAATATTGAGTTTAGAAGTGAGTGTGTGTTGGGGCGCCTCCACAAACTCCCGGATCGCAAACTTTGCGGTCCTTTTCAATATTTTAATAGTGAGGGCTCCGTTACGCGAAACCATTACTAATGTACTGTCTTCACGGCCAAAGCGACCGTATTTCATGGCCACCACAATGTCATCCGTGTCCAAAATATCCACTTTATGTCTGTCTTGATATAAATGTATTTGTTTGCAATCGAGTGCCACAGCGATCAGCTTCAGGCTCTGACGCTCAACATCTATAGCTTCAATGGCTGTTATAATTGCCGGCTGTTCAACACTCCACATGCAGTTCCCTATTAAGTAATGTTATTTACCTTAATCATATTTCACAATTAAATCAATATTAAAATACCTTTAGTGGTGAATGTGCTGAGCATTTGGTTCATGGTTGCGATCACAATATTATTATTGACTCTTAAAATTCCAACGGGTTGTGAATTGAGTTGAAGACAGAGTCGTCCCGTTTTATAGCCTCGTTTGATGGTATAGATGTGGGCGTCTCTACACGAAACCATTAACCGATACTCGACGTCAAACAAACCGTTTGCCTCAATAAACACGGGAACACTCGGAACCGTTGCCTATAAACCAGATTTAGTTCAATTTGTTCAAACAGTTGGCAAAACTTACGGTCACTAATATAGTAAAGGCGTCGGGTTCTAGTATATACACGTCCCGATTCTCAGTGCCCATCACTAGACAACTGACCGCATTCTCATCCGACACCGTCTTCTTTATAGTTGTCAAACACGTGACAACTGTTACCCTTTTCAGCGGCTGATCCTTATAAACCTCAACAAAATTATCCATTTCTACCGCATTTTCTAAGCCGATGAACGCTTGGGAACGGGATGTAAGGCCGGTGTCACCGATTTCAAGACGTATATTGTTTAGCAAATCTTTAAGCATCAGAGTATCAATCTTTTCGTCTTTCACTTGACTCCAGGCGTCCTTTTCCATGGCGTTCACCTCAAGAGTAGGCAACGAAAACTTGTAAAAGGGTTTCATATTTTTGTATACGTAGAGGTAGGCGCCCGACGCTACGGCCACTGCCGGTGTTTGTGGTTCGTTGCCATCCATATGAAACACTGCTATACCCGCCGGGATATCAACTAAAGTGCTCTCAGTTTGCAATACAGTTCCCCGATATACCTATTAATCAAAACAACAATCATTAACATATTGAAAATTTAATACCCATTAAATATCAAACCTTTAGTTTTGGTTTATTTAAATTAAATCCTAGATCAGCTATAATTAATTTATAGTCGCCGTCACCGGACATATCGGCCAATGCTATACACGACGGAATGGCATATAAGTTGGCATTTATCTCATTGTTAGCCAAAAGCCATTTGTTTGACGCGACGCTCGTTGAGAACGAACTGATGGTTTCGGTGGACAAAGATTTTGTCAATTGATTTCCCGATGAAACAGATCTGTAATCATAATTAACAATGAATTTAAATGAGAGAGAGAGAGAGAGAGAGAGAGAGAG